TGGCTGGATTTATGTTTGTTTCTTTATTTCTCTTTTTCTTTTGGTCTGGTACTTTCTATGATAGCTTTTAAATTTTTAAAAATTTTATTTATTTTTACTGGTTCTTTTTAGTTATATATAACAGTAGAATCCATTTTCATATAATTATACAAACATGGAATATAACTTATTCTTGCAGAGCTGCTGCAGCACTGTGAATTCCTCTGAGCCCCATTCTTGTGGATATACATAATGGTGGGATTCACTGTGGTGTATTCATATATGTGCATAGGAAAATTATGTTAGATTCATTCTATTGTATTTCTTTTTACTATGCCCCCTCCCCTCCCTTCATTCCTCTTTGTCTAATCTACTGAATTTCTCTTTTCTGTCCCTCCCTTCCCCTTATTGTGTGTTGGCTTCCACTTGTTAGTAAAAACATTTGACCTTTGGCTTTTGGGGACTGGCTTATTTCACTTACCATGATAGTCTCCAGATCTATCCATTTACTGGCAAACTTAATAAAGTCATTCTTCTTAATGGCTAAGTAAACTCTAATATATATGTGAATATATATATATATATATATATATATATATATATATATATATATCACATTTTTTTATTCATTCATCTGTTGAAGGGCACCTAGGTGGACTCCATAGCTTAGTTATTATGAATTGAGCTGCTATAAACATTGATGTAGCTGTCTCACTGGAGTATGCTGATTTGAAACCAAATAAGGCACGTAAGTTATACTTTTAAATTGATGTTTGGTGCCCAAACCTAGCCCCACTCTGAATATAAAAGAGATATTTTGACCCTATTGAGGCTTTGAAGTGGAGAAAAACAAAGGTCACTTGCCTTGGAAATTGTAGACTGATCTGCGAGATAGAGTGTGGCTGACAGGGGTAAGGATCTAGATCTAAGGAAGATCACAGGGAAAGTCTCAAGCCAACCCACCCAAACATATTACAGGAACAGGGATTCTGAGTGAGAGGAGCAATTCAAGCCAGATAGGTCTACAGAGGAATCAGGTGAAGGAGCTGTTCAATTGTCCTGACAGACTCACACTCTCACCTCAGGACACAATAATGCCATTTTGAAAGTGAAAACCTATTTACACCCAGGCACTGTGGTGGCCAGAGCCAGATGTGGTAGCACACGCTTATAATCCAAGAGGCTCAGGAAGCTGAGGCAGGAGAACTGCAAGTTCAAAGCCAGCGTCAGCAATTTAGCAAGGCCCTAAGCAACTCAATGAGACTCTGTCTTTAATAAAATACAAAATGGGGCTGGGAGTGCCTCAGTGGCTACGTGCCCCTGGGTTCAATTCCTGGTACCCCCCCCCCCAAAAAAAAAAGTGATGGCCAGGCAAAGAAGGGGTTGAATTCTGCATATAGACTCATGTAACAAGTTTGGCTCATTTGGGTCAGAGATGAAATCAAAGGCATTTTAAATTTTGAAGGCAGTTTCAAAAATTTGAAACAACAGATTCAAAAGACTATTTCAAAAAACTTCTGCAACAATTATCTGAACTGCCAAATGATAATCAGTACATTGATTTATATTAACCAATAACTAGTCTCTGTAATGTACAACTATTCCATACCACCTGATTTTCTGCACTCACTTTTCCCATTTGAACCTGTCTCCTCCCCCTCCCCTGCTTTCTTCTTTCCCTTTTTCCTTTTCTTTCCTCTCCTTTTCTCTTTTCCTTTTGTTTATTTTTTATCCCACCTTCAAATTCAATATTGTATTCAGTTAATAATTTGTCACCCTTTAAACCTATATCATATTAGACCTCACTCCTGTTTCACTTGGATTTCTAGAGCTGTAGAGATTGTTAGTAATTACATTTACAATATACATTAATACATGGTTAATACATGGTGCCCTGAGTCCAATCCCTTTTAAACTACTACTGTTACTTGTAGCACTCTCTCCTTTCAAAGAGACATTGGAGGTTGAAATTAACACTTGTATTATACTTATCCTATGTATTGAAGCTAAAATACAGGACCACTCACAAAAGAATCTCTTCATAAAAGAACAAGAGGAATCCATCTCAACAGATGCACAAGTCTAAGACCTCTGAAAACATGAGGAAAAAGGCAAATAAGTCTCTCCCCAAAATTTACAATAGAACAAACAAAAGTGTCTTCCATAGATGGGGCTGGGAAAACTGGATAACCACATGCAAAAGAGTGAATTTGGATCATTCCACACAGCAAATTAACTGAACATGAATCAAAGACCAAACTATAAGAGCTAAAACGATAAAACTCTTGGGAGAAAACAGAGAAATTTGGATGTGACAATAAACATCTTTATTATTATTTCAACTGTGCATTTTTATGAAGTACAGGGTGATAATTTGATAAACGTATACAATATAAAACGTGGTATGGTTACATCACAGTAGGTAGTATTTCCACCTCCTTAAACTTTTAAATATTTTTCACACCTGTAATCCCAGTGGCTTGGGAGACTGAGACAGGAGTATCATGGGTTCAAAGCCAGTCTCAGCAACAGCAAGGCACTAACAAGTCAGTGAGACCCTGTCTCTAAATAAAATACAAAATAGGGCTGAGGATGTGGATCAGTGGCTGAGTGTCCCTGAGTACAATCCCTAGTACCCTTTCCCAAAAAACCTTTTAAATATTTTGATTAACCTATATTAACTATACATATTTCTGAGGTCTAGTGTGATATTTTAATATATGTATACAATATGTACAGATCACCAAAAACATGAGGAAGCAAAGGAAAAATGCATTAATTGGAATTCATCAAAACAGGAAACTGTTCAGGAGAGGATGAATTAAGTGAAAAGACTACCTACAGAGTAGGAGTAATGTTTGAAAATCATGTATCTGATAAGGGTCTCTGTGAGTATATAAAAACTCTCTCAAAAAGAAAAAGAACAACATCCTGGGGCAGTGGCAAATGTCTGTAATCCCAGCAGCTGGAGAGGGTGAGGCAAGAAGATAGTGAGATCAAAGCCAGCATCAGCAACAGTGAGAAGCTAAGCAACTCAGTGAGACCTTGTCTCTAAATAAAACACAAAATAGGGTTAGGGATATGGATCAGTGGTTGAGTGCCCCTGAGTTCAATCCCTGGTGCCCACAACTCCAAAAAAATAAAAAGAACAACAAAAAGAAAAGGGAGGGGGATAACAAATGTTTGTGAACACATGGAGAAATAGGAAAATCTGCATACAGAGAAGTGTGTTTGTACACACACAAATGCACATGGTGGGCATCTCAGGGTTAGCATTTGCTTGCCTGGTAGCATGGGCCCAAAGGTAGCTATGGGAATAGGCAAGTGGGTGAGTAGAAGGAAACCATGTTTTCTGATCTGGCTAAGGAAGGAGGTTGAGGATGTGAAAGCCTGATGGTGTAGAGGAAGTTGAAGGGCCATGCCATGGTTTCCCTGGCTCCTGCCTACTAGGGAACCCAGGTAGCTGAGAGAGACTGAGTTGAGCCAGACACTGCGATTGTTCAATTCCATGTGAGACCATCTCTATTGCTCCCTATGAGGCTAAGAAATGTGTGGTGTAATCTCTGCTCCCAATGTGAGAAGGCCAAGGCTTAGTGAGTTACAGGAGCTTGGCTCTGACCACTGGGGTCCTATTTGGAAGAACAGTTGTCATTATTCTTTATGTAATGCCAACTATTGCCTCAGTACCCATTTTTCAGAAATCCACACTTCAATATCTGGCTCCCTAATGTAAGCAGACATTACGAATTGAAGTGGCAAGTGGTAGGAAATTATTTATGCCAAACACTCAAGAAATGCAGGCAATTATTGCCACCTGGTGGTACTTCACCTGTGTCATTTATAGGATTGTAACTTAAAAATTTTTGTACTGCTATTATTTTAATTTCAAAAATTATGCCTGTTTTCCTTTTTTTTTTTTGGTACCAAGGATCGAATTCAGGGGCACTCGCGGGCCACTGAGCCACATCCCCAGCCCTAATTTGTATTTTATTTAGACAGGGTCTCACTGAGTTGCTTAGTGTCTCACTGTTGCTGAGGCTGGCTTTGAACTCACTATCCTCCTGACTCAGTTTTCCTAGTCTCTGGGATTACAGGTACACGTTACAGCACCCAAAATTATGACTGTTTTCTGAAGTACAAGCATTCCAGAGGCATGGAGAATGTAGCGTGCAGAAAGCCTGTTCAACACTTGCTTGGAATTTGGAACTTCTGTCAGTCAGTTATTAGGATAGTCCCACAGAACTGACCACAATGATGTTGTTATTTGGAAGTGACCATAGGTGGCTGAAGCCACTCAAGATCATGGACACTGAACATCTGCTGTCAGCTCTTTGAGATTCTCCCTCTCCCTGCAGGTGCTGACAGGAGTCTCCTTCTAGGGTACCATCAGGAAGGGGAAGGGGCGGGAAGACAGATGGAAGTGCAGGGAGAGCTGTGGAAAGGCCCATTTCCCATTCACCTGTGCACAAATCACAAAGTTGAGCATGGTATGATCTATGAAAATGCTCAAATGACTAGGAATGAGAAGTAAAATATGTAAGCCCTCACCTACTTACCTTTCTTCCTTCCTTCCCTTAATCCTTTCCTTCTGCAGCCCCCAATAGCCAAGAGACATCCTTGAAGCACCTGTTGTACCAGTGCATATGCCTGCTTCTGTGGGCCTCCTCAAAGAGCATCTCACAGAGCCCCTAATGTCTCCAAAAGTGAATTACTAAAGTAGAATGTGTCCTTTCTCATGAGGCTTTATTCACAAAGTACCTGGCTTCCCAGGGATGAACTGGGTGGTGTGTGGTGGTACACATGGTCTTTCAGTCCTGACTCCCTTGGCTCATGGCTAGGGCAGGGGAAGAGCAACCCAGGACACATAAATGCAACATGCAATTTCACTCTTTATTATGATAATAAACAGCCATCTTCAGTGGTGAAAAATAATCATAACAACTGGCTTTTTGGATGGTTGTATTACCTGACCTACAAGTTAACTTTGGCTTCTTGAACAACAAGACTGTCAACCTCAGCCATGGGCATGGTCGTAAGTTAGTAAGAGAGACACAATAATGTGGATTAAAAGGAAAATGACATTCAAGGCCTCCTCTGGATTCTTGACCTAGAAGGAATGGAGGAGTTAGGCTTTTAGAAGAACCAGGTGCCCTGAGTTGCATCCCCATCCCCATCCCCATCCCCAGGCCACCACTTTTCCAAAGGTTCAGAGTCCATTTTTCATCCCTTGATTCCCATACCTCACCTGGAACACAGTGAAGACCTGACCAACTCTGGTTAGTTCTCCTCCTTGTCTTCAAGGCACCTGAAAAACAGGTGATCTCCATGACATCACAGAACATGCACACTGGCTACAAAATGCCACCTCCTAATGCCACTCTTATGCTAGGATACATGAGCCAGAATGAGTACCATTGTAATGATGAATAATGACCTTATGAAAACTAAAATATCTGTGACTAACATTCATGCTCACCAGAATTCAAAGCAGAAAATCAGGAGTGTTTAGAAGAATAAATGATATTAACATATAATGATATCAAAGATGCTCAAGAAAATAAGACACTGAAATTCAAAAATAAAAATGTTCCAGTCACTTCCAAATCCAGGTATATGGCACATATTATAGCATTTGCCATCTTAAGGTGTATGATTCAGTGGTTTTCTAGTATATTCACAAGATTGTACAACCATCACAATTATCCAACGCCAAAACTGTTTCACCATCTTAGCAAAACCAAACACAACTCCTTACCTATTAGCAGTCACTCCCCAGTTCTACCTGTCCCCAGACCTGGGAAACCTTATTCTGCTTTGTGTCCTTATGGATTTGTTCATTTGGAGATTTTTCATAAATGGACTGATAATGATATATGTAGTCTTTTATAACTGGCTATTTTGCTTAAGCATAATATTTTCAAGGTTCATGTTATAGAGTGTATCACAATTTTATTCTACACCATGTTATAGTGTATCACAATTTTATTCTATTTTATTGCTTAATAATATACATATATGTGCATATATATGGATGTGTATGTGTATATCTCACATTAATTTATCCATTCATAAACTGATGAACACTTTGGTTGTTTCCATTTGGGGGCTATTATCAATAATGTTGCTATGAACATTTGTGTACAAGTTTTCATGTGAACCTGTGTTTTTATCTATCTTGGTAGAATTGCTCATTTATATGGTAACCTCCTGTTTAACATTGTGAGGAACTGCCAACCCACAATGATTGCACCATTTTCCATTCTCACTAGCCATGTAGGACGGTTCTGATTAATCCATATGTTTTCCAACACTTGTTATTTCCATTTTAAAAAATCACATTCATTGTGGTGTGAAACAAGTGGTATCTCTCTTTCTGATTTGCTTTTCCCAGGTGACTAATAATGCTTAGTATCTTTCCAAGTACTTTTTGTATATTTGTGTCTTTTTTTTGAAAAATGTCTATTTAGTTACTTGGCCATATTAATTGGGTTACATGTCTTTTTATTGTTGTTTTTTTGGCGGTGGTACCAGTGATTGAACTCAGAGGCTTTCGAACACTGAGCCACACCCATAGCCATATTTTCTATTTTATTTAGAGACAGGGTCTCACTGAGTTGCTTCAGTGCCTCACTGTTGTTGAGGCTGGCTTTGAACTTACGATCTTCCTGCCTCAGCCTCCCAAGCCACTAGGATTACAGGTGTGTGCCACTGCGACTGGCTGAAGAGTTTTTTATGGATTCTGGATATGTCCTTTATCAGACACAAAGTATATAAATATTTTCTCTTCTTTTGGATTGCCTTTTCACTTTATAGTGTCCTTTAATGCAAAAAAAGTTAGAAATTCTGATGAACTCCACTAAATTTTTCCTTTTTTCTTGCACTTTTGCTGTCATATGTCAGATACCATTGTCTAAGTCAATGTCACAAAAATTTATTCCTATGTTTTCATCTAAAAATGTTAATGTGGGCTGAGGATGTGGCTCAAGCAGTAGCGCGCTCGCCTGGCATGCGTGTGGCCTGTGTTCGATCCTCAGCACCACATACAAACAAAGATGTTGTGTCCGCTGAAAACTAAAATAAATAAATAAATATCAAAAATTCTCTCTCTCTCTCTCTCTCTCTCTATCCCTCCTCTCTCTATTAAAAAAAATAAAAATGTTAATGTTTTGGATTTAACTTTTAGGGTTTTTAAAATACTTATTTTTCAGTTTTAGGTGGACACAACATCTTTATTTTATTTTTATGTGGTGCTGAAAATCGAACCCAGTGCCTAACACATGCTAGGTGAGGGCGCTACCACTTGAGCCACATCCCCAGCCCAACTTTTAGGGTTTTGACCCATTTTTAATTTGCTTTTTTATGGCATGAGAGTAGAGTATAAATTCATCTGTAAGTGGATATCCAGTTGTTCCTGTACCAGTTTTTTAAAAAGGCTATTTTCACACTCTGATTGAAATGCAACTGACCATAAAAGTTGTTTTTTTTTAAATTTGAACTCTTATTTTATTCTATTCATATGCATGTCTATTGTAAGGCCTATACTATCCAGTACAAATTGTTTACTATAAGTTTACAGCCACATTTTAGTGAGTCCTCCAATTCTGTTCTTCTCTTTCAAGATTATTTTTTCTTTTCTAAGTTAACTGTATTTTCTTGGGAATTTTAGGATCAATTTGTAAATGTCTACAATGAAGGAAGCTAAAATTTTGATATAGATTGCATTTACAATGAATCTGCAATATAAATTTGGAAAGTGACTGCCATCTAAACAATATTTAGTCTTCCAATCCAGGACCATGGGATGTACATCCATTTATTTAAATCTGTAATTCATTTTTACAATGTTTTATTGAGTTTGGAGTGTATGCTTTATACTTTTTGATAAATATGTTCCTAAATATCTTACTTTTTTTGAACCCAGAGAAGCTTAACCACTGAGAGACACATCCTCAGCCCTTTTTATTTTGAGACAAGGCCTCACTAATTTGCTGAGGCTGGTCTTAAACTCACTATCCTCCTGACTCAGCCTCCCAAGCTGCTAGGATTATAGGCATGTGCCCCCAAACCCAGCCTAAATATGTTACTTTGTTGTGGTACTGGGGATTGAACCCAGGGCCTTGTACATGTGAGGCAAGCACTCTACCAACTGAGCTATAATCCCCAGCCCCTAAATATGTTACTTTTTGATGCTATTGGAAATGGAATTTTTTATTTATTTTATTTTCTGATTGTTCATTGCTAGTATATGGTGATATGGTTGATTTCTGTATATTGATTGAGTGCCCTGAAACAGTGCTGACCTAACATACTAATTTTAAGTTTTTGGTGGTTTCCTTAGAATTTGATACATATGAGATCATGCTATCTGATTTAAACATTGCATTGTTTTAAAATTACTTACATTATCACAATAACATTAATATATATTTTCTCATGAGTGCATTTTGGAAGCAAAATATACAAGTGTTATTTTGACAAATTAGTTGAAAATTTCCATGATTAAATTCCCACTTCTTCCAACTCAAGTCTATCCCCAGAGACTCTCAGCACTCACTTCTGAGAGCGCTCAAGGCTCTGCATCTCAGACTTGGTGGAGAAAGGCTGTGCTATTCCCTGCTGCTCCTGGTAGAGGTCAGGCACATAGTTGGAGGAGGGTGTAAGCATGGGGATGGAGAAGGCGCTCTGGGTCTCTTTGGGGCTGGCATTCCTCACAATCATCTCATCATTCACGATGCACAGACTAAAGGAAAGGTGAATTCTCAAATAATCAGACAAATGGACAACCCCACACTCCCAATGGTGATTCTATTTCCATTGCTACTCAGCAACCAGATTCCTTTCAAACCCCTACACTGCCTACCTCTTAGCTCTCTTGGCTGGTACCCTTAACCCATGCTACAGAACCTACCTTTTGAGAGATTGTCTACTACCTTCATTACATTACAGATTTAACTCCCTTTATTTAAAAGCAGGCACTCTTCCCCATTTACAGAGGAAGTCAACTAATTACAGAAAAGTCTTATAATTTGACAAAGGTCACACAGCTAATTAATAAGTGTTAGGATAAATGAGAATCTATTCTGACTTTAGATTCCATGCTCTTAACCACTATTCTAGACTTCTCCTTGAATCTATCTGTTGGCTTTCCCCAGTGTTGAGAAGACCCCAAGACAATACTAATCACACTACTGAATGGAAGCTTGGATGGTGTTACCACTGCCATCCACAGCATTGTGCTTACCTGGAATTGCTGACAGAAGTTAAGATGAAGGTCCGGGTGAAGGCACGAACAGAACCCTGAGACTTTCCTTCCACTTCAATGACAATAAACAATGATGCCCCCTTAGACCTGCATATTCATGTTTACATACAGTGTTCCCCAGTAAGGGTCTTGCCTGATACTCATGTGCACCCTTAAGGAAACCAAACTCCAACAAATTTTACTGGGAATTAGGAGGGAATTTCAGGGTTTGAGGCAGCCACAGTAGAAATGAATCAGCTCCCACTGAAAAGACCCCCTAACGTGGGTTCCTTGACAAACATAAGCTCACTTTATTCATTTTTCACAGCTGCCCAAGAGATGAATATTATTAGCCCCATTTTTCTTTTTTTTAATTTTGAAGTTGTAGATTTTGTTTGTTTATTTTTATGTGGTGCTAAGAATCAAACCCAGTGCCTCACAAGTGCTAGGCAAGTGATCTGCCACTGAGTTACAGCCCTAGCCCCCAAATTATTCAAGTGAAGAAACTGAGGTGTTAAGTATCAGGCCAGATTTAACACATTAAGGACCTGGAATGAGAGCCATCAAACTCCACAGCCTGTGTTCCTAATGCCTGAGTTGTGCGGGGCAGACAGACATGGATGTAGATCAGATCAGTCACTTGCGAGAGAAAAATAGGGTGGGAGAACAAAAAGGGAGTCATACAGGAAGGGAAAAGAAAGGAAGGAAAGAGGCTAGGGATATAGCTCAGTGGTAAAGCACTTGCTTAGCATGTGTGATGCTCTTGGTCTAATCCCCAGTAGCAGTGTGGAAAATATGAAAGGAAGAAAAAGGAGAAGAAGGAAAAGGATGTGGGCTCAGAGAATACTGGGAGGGAACTCAGCAAGGAGAAGGGAGTCATGAGCACTCTGATAAGGGGCATCTACAGATACTCACCTTCCTTGAACAACCCATTGACAGAAAAACAGAGCATCATGTCCTGAAATGGAAGAATAAAAATCTAGGTCTTTCATGATCCTTCAGAAATTTACTACCTATGTTGAGAAACTTCAGACACTTACTACCTATGGCTGCCTGAGGAAAGAAATGGGTACTCACTGTCTGGACACATAGGTCTATCACATAGGAGTTAAAATCATGCTGAGTTTTGGGCAATACAATGAGGCAGTTCACAATGTCACATTTTGTGTGCTTTAGCAGCTGCATCCGCAGAACTATATGGGGAAGAAAAGCAAAGATGGGGACTGGCAAATTGTTGCCCTTGTGGCTTATCATTGAGTCCTTTACATCATATTTCTCATGCCAAGCTTCTCTTATCACAGACTTACAGGGGTCCTTGTGCTTCTTTATATTTCTATTATCCTTGAAATACTCTTCCAAGCTATTCCTAAAGAAAAAGAGGAACAGAAGGTGGTGGTCTAGCCAGTGCAGGTATTTCCAGGAGAGAGCTACATGGTCCCAGGCCAGAGTCTGAATTGTGATACTCACGGGTCTGGGTCCTCAGGGTTGAAGGGAATGGTCAGGGAGAAGCAGGCCTCATCATGGTAAGCATCAAGGAGACCCTGTCGATCTCCATAGTCATAAATAAGGTAATACCTGTGGAGAAGCAAAGGGGACAGGCTATCTCTGGGGCCCTGCCCCCAAATGATACCTCAAAATACTGTGAGCAGACCTGTGCTAAGTTAAACCAAACTGTGCCAGCCCTCCCTGTCAAGATCCCAGGAGAACTTACTGAAGCAGGAATTGCAATACTAGACTCTTCAGATTATCACATCCTTTATAGCTTTCCTGAAATGAAGACACCTTGAAACTACATGATTGACAAAACCTCCCTTGCAACACCTCAAATACTGATGATCCCCCCTCACCTTACAAGGTTTTATTATTTCAGGTGTTTCATTGTCAATTCCAATTGATTCTGGTAACTCCTGGCCATCCTTGAGAAGGGAAGAGGAGGTCAACAGTGAAGATCAGGGTGGTGGCACTGCATGAGCAAGGAGTTAAACCAGCCCAAGGGGAAACAAGGGCCAGAGGCCACGTATAAATAGGCCCTGGAAAATCCATGGGTGAGATCACACTTGGTGTCTGCATCATGAGCTCTTGGAAATCTCTACCAGTATATGCACCCTGTGAGTGGGTGTGTATGGGTGTGTGCACGTGTGTTCTCCCTAGGGAAAATGTCCATGCCATGGAGAATCCATGCCCTTTAAGAAGGATGAGGGTCTGGTGCACACCTAATCTAGGCAAGGCCCACAAGGCCTGGGGCCAGCGGGGAGGTCAGGTATGTGAGTAAGGAGACAAGACCGGAAGTGCGTACTTACCAGGCGTAACAAATTGGGGAAACAATCCTGGATAGCACTGTGCAAATGAAAAATCTAATGAAGTGAGGTGACAGTGGAGGGCTGTGCACACTCTCTCCCTCTTGCTCTCCTCCCTCTCTTTTCCCCTGGGTACCTCCCATCTACACTAGCCTGACCCCCTCCTCCAGGGCCCACCCTGCCTCCCTTACCTTCTTCCAGGTCCCCCCATGGAAGGCTCTGAAGGGAGCAGGGAATGGGGTGGGAGACCAGGGCTCTGCTACTGTGCTGGGTGTCCAGCCTTCCGTGGGGCATGGCCTGGCCAGACCAAGACCAGGTCATACTCTCGCCTCCCAGGATAGGATGCTGGGTGGGGTGGGGGTTTGGTGAGTGAGACAGGCAGGGGAAGGCAGGGGTATGGCCACAGAAAGGGAATGAAGGCAGGGGAGGGAGAGACGGTGATAGAGGAAGCAAAGCAAAGGGAAGGGGAAGATGCTGTCCTGGTGCTGGAGGTCAAGGTGGAAGTGAGAAGAAACCAGTGCCCTACCGCAGCCCATTCCTTCACCTGCCCCTGGCTGGCCCTGCGGCCCCAGGCAGGAATGCAAACATGTACCTGCTGGGCTCGGGCCCACAGGATGCAGGTTCAGCCTCTGTCTCCCGTGTGGGCCCAGAGGGGGCCAGGTATGGGAAAAGGAGCTGCCCCCAGGGGAGGTGTCATTCCCAGCACCAGTAGTGAAGAATCAGGCACCAGCTCAGCATGTGACAGAGGGTCTGTGGCCCCCTCTTATGAGCACCAGGTTCCCTCATGGTGGTTCCTGTGCACCGGTGCCTGTCTGAGTCAGTGTCTTGCCCAAGGAAGCATCTTGACTTGGGCTACCAGGGCTGCTCTGAGGGACGAGGTTGGATGTGGGATGTGGAGTTGGGGAGGGAGCAGCAATGCCCCTGAGCAGCCTGTGCTCCCGCCTCCTCCTCCTCCTGCCCCTCCTTTGCCCTCTGCCTTCCCCTCCTGTCTTAGGAAGGCCTCTGCTTGCTGGCAGTGGCCTACCTCTGGCTCCTTGACTCAGGGAACCCAAGTTTCTCCCCAAGGAGGAAACAGTTTCCACCAATGGCCTAGAGGAACAGATGTTGTGACGGTAGCCACCCAGGGCCCGGGCCCTCACCACGGGGCATGAAATCTCTCCTTGTCAGCCTGGGATAGGAAGGGGAACCTTTTTGGAACATGAGAAGAAGGGCCACTCATAGGACAGGGGAGGGAAGCCCAGCCCCATCTTCGGAGGGCTTGCTGGAGGAGGCCAGTGCAGAGGGGCGGGAAACACACCCCAGTCCAGCTGAAAAAGGGGAGCAGGTCACAAGAAGGAAAGCAGACCTGTGGGCACAGCTGAGAGACACAGATAGAGGAGAGGGTATGGACTGTGGTCCTTCCAGAGGATCAAGGTTGCATCCTCCTGCAGAGGTGGACTTCAGGGGGAGCTCAGGCTCCCGGGAGGCAAAGGTCTCCAGGAAGGGTGACAGGTGTTACCAGGCATTATCTACCTTACATAAGCAGACTGCTCTGGGAAGTCACTGCACAAGGGGTTCCCTTCTAGCCATAGCTCTTCCAGCTTCATCCCTTTCAGCTTGACCAACTCCTTGGAGGTCCTCAGCTGAGAAAGATGGGGAGGGAACCGGTTAAGGAGACCCAGGGAGAGAGGGTCACCTGGGAACCTGCACCCAGATACCTCCACTCACAGGTGCTTTTGTCTGCCTCTTGCCAACATCCTGCTGTGCACTACCAGCCACCCTCAACCCAAATTTCATCTTGCTGTCTTCTCACCTCATTTTTGGAGAGGTTCAGTATCTTGACTTGGGGGGCTTTCTCTACAATGTCAGACAGGGCATCCAGCCAGTATAGTTTGTTGTTACACAAGTTCAAGGACAACAGCTTTTGGGAAGGAATGGTTAGTGTAATGATTACTATTGAGAGTGGGGAATATAAATCTACCCTTCACAACATCCCTTCCACTCTTCTACCAAAATACCAGCCCTGGGCCTAAGATCTCACCTCAGGGAAATTCCTTTCAATGATCTGCAGGGTAGCAAACATACACTGTCTTCGGTTTAGGATCATGTCAATGTCATGTTCCATCAAGTCTTCAGGAAGACAAACAAACAAACAAAAAACGAGTCTTCAGGAAGCCAGGAGAAGGGGATCAGAAAGCTCAGAGGGGTCTGTGTGGAGCAGCAGTAGCAAGAACCCCCTCCCCAATTTTCCATTTCTATGTCTCCCTGCCAGGCAGACCCCTCTGCCCTCACCTTCCCTAGGAATACTGTTGTCAGTCATACCTGGGTCAAAGCGGAGCTTCTGGAGATCAAGGGCTTGCTGTGAGACATCATATCGTTTGTTCATCGTCAGCTGCAGAGACAGAGATGGAGAAAGGGGCTTTGAGGCTGTGGGGGGGTGGCTGTGACAGGGACATCAAAGGGTGGAGGTTGAAATGTGGGCGAGGAAACTTTTCAAACAATGTGCCTTAGGTCTATATTACCATTAGCTTCTCCATTTTTTCTGGAGTGAATTTATTCTGCAAGGTATTCAGTTCAGTACAGGGATTGACAAAGATAGATATCTATGGGAAGAAGAGGCAGGGTAAGCACCAGGGTCCAAAGATAACCAGCCCCTGTCCATTCCCCTCCCCAATCCCAACAATACTAAGGAATGATCTCGGCCCATACCTTTTGATTTTCCTCATCACAAATTTTGCAGTTGACGTCTTTCAATGCAGAGGCAGCACTAGCATCCTGGACAAAGAATTGGGCCCGATTTTTGATATAGTGGAACTACAGGGAATGGAGGCAGAAGCAATAATGTCAGATGCCAACTGTCCCTGCTGAGGCAGACCTCTTCCCCTCCCGGGTGCCCATCAGCTGGCTTCACCATCTTCTCTTACATCAATTGGTGTAAAGGGTACACAGCAATGGCTCAGGATTGAATTCATTAGCCATTTCTTATTATACTTCATCCCATAAGGAATCTAAAGGTAAAAAGAAGGGATGAAACAAAGACAACATGGAATTAAAGGCAGTTATCATACACGATCAAGTATTTTACTGTGACCTTCTCCAGAGTTCTAGCTAGGTCAGGCATGGTGGCACAAACCTGTAATCCCAGTGGCTCAGGAGGCTGTGGCAGGAGGATCACAGGTTTGAAGCCAGCCTTAGTAATTTAACAAGGCTATAAGCAACATAGTGAGACCCTGTCTCAAAATAAAAAAAAATAATAAAAAGGGGTCTGGGGTTGTAGCTCAGTGGTAAAGTGCTTGCCAAGCATGTGTGAGGCACTGGGTTTGATTGTCAGCACAACATATAAATCCATAAATTAAATAAAGGTTTATCAACAACTAAAAATTATTTAAAAAAATAAAAAGGGGGGCTGGGGATGTGGCTCAAGCGGTAGCGCGCTCGCCTGGCATGCGTGTGGCCCGGATTCGATCCTCAGCACCACATACAAACAAAGATGTTGTGTCCGCCAAAAACTTAAAAAAAAAAAAAAAATTTAAAAATTCTATCTTTCTCCCTCTCTCTCTCTCTCTCACACACTCTCTCTTTAAAATAAATAAATAAATAAATAAAAAGGACTGGGGATGTGGCTCAGTGGCTAAGTGCCCCTGAGTACTGAAAAAAAAAATAGTTCTAGCTAGACATGGTAGCACATGCTTATAATCCTAGCAGCTCAGAAGGCTGAGGTAGGAGGATCACAAAATAGAGACCAGCCTCAGGAACTTAGTGAGGTCCTAAGCAACTTAGTGAGAACTTGTCTTAAATTAAAAAGTAAAAAAAGGACTGGGGATATAGCTCAGTAGTAAAGCACTTCTGGATTCAATCCCTAGTACCTCCCCGCAAAAGACTTTTAATGTGGGGACAACTGACATGATACACTTTTTGGTTTTCTTTCTTTTTGTTTTGGATCAATACATGGATTTCTTAATTGTCCTTTCTCTGTATTGCAAATTGATCTTCGAAATAAAAAATTTAGCTGTTCTAAATGACCTTAATTAATAAGATTCCAGGAGATTTTACATATTGAATATCCTTCCTGACCATCTAACAAAGATTTCAGAGACTCATAATCCTACATGCTGCTTGAGCCAAAGCAAGGCATCCAGTGGGAATCTGTTCCATATTCTTGGCAGTAGTCCACCTTTCCCTTTAGACAGCCTTCCCTTTTAATTCATTTTCTGGACCTGTCCTTAGATGGTATCAACCCAATTCCCTCTGATCTACCTCTCCTGCACCTTACCTACATAATATCAGGACACTCACTGTGATCTTGAACCTTCTCCCCACAGCTTCATCCTGTGTGCTCTTTTTCATTTCTTTTTCTGAAGGAATTTTATCTTGGCATTCCTTATCCCATTTTATATTCCCATTGTTGACGTGGAAGGTAGAGGAGTCACTGGGGGAAATGGACAGAAGAAGGTATCCATAAATGTACAGAAATGCAATTTTCAAAAAGAAAAACAAGATTGAAATTTTAAAATGTATAGAAATGCTACAAAGTCTCCTACACAGTCTCAACTCACTGATTACATGACCTATCATTATGACTGCTCTATATTCTACTTTTATCACTCTTCACTTTTTCAGTGAGAGAAGAACAAGATAACAGAGAATGAAAGAGTTGCACAGTCCTATGGATTGCTAAATTTAAAACGGGTTGTCTGGTAACTTACTGTCTTACTTCAGGGTCCTCATGGACATCCACCATCTGGCTGTTTCCATCATCCTTCTGGAGGTTTGATGGTGGAAGCTCATTTTTATCATCTTCATAATGTACGTTTTCCTTGTCAGAATTCCCTTGGAAAGAATTATCACCTTTATCTTTTTCTTGCAGAGAGCTTTCATCATTTTTTTCTGAAATTGGGAACAAAAACACAAGTTTAAAGACACATAAATGGTCCACTTACAATACACTACATTAACAGTTAACAGTGTGGTAGGGCAAGCAAAATGTCAGCCTGCTCCAAGGACCAATCATACAACCCTCCCACCACCAACAACAAACAAAAAAACTCCTCTGTCTGTCCAGACATGAGACCCTTTTCTCACTGGTGGTACATTCAGGGGAGATATCTTGGAAGAGGAAGAAATTAATGCTAAACCTCATAAAATGTGAAGCAGTACTTATAAAGAACTGAAGTGTAAGAATTCACAGGTTGAAATGAACATCTACACCAGGAAGGCATCCAAATCTTGTCTTCTCTGATGTTTCTGTAATCTAACAACATGACTAAAACCTCATAGATAATCTCATGTTTCATGTAGACCTGGTTATCATATTAATTATATTATTCAGATTGTCTATATCCTTATAGATTTTATGTCTAGCAATTTCTATCAATTTCTGAGAATGGGATGTTAAATGCCCCAACTATTATTTCTCCTTTCAGCTCCATCAGTTTTTGTCTCATTTACTTTGAGGCTCTGTTGTATGGAATCGTGTACTATTAGTCAGCTTTGCATTACTGTAACAAAATATCTGAGAGAAATCAAATTTTAAGGAAGAAAGTTTTACTTTGGCTCATACTTTCAGAGGTATCAGTCCATGATCACTTGACCCTGTTTCTTTGGGTCTATGTTGACACAGTACATCATGAGCAAGCACATAAGGAGGAGCTTCCCATTTCATGACAGCCAGGAAGCAAAGAAAGAAATAGGAAGGAGCCAGGGTCCTGCTTTTCAAGGGCATGGCCCAGTCCTGACTTTCTCCCAGTAAGCTTCACCTCTTAAAGGTTCCATCACTTCCCAATAGTGTCACTGGCTAGGAACTAAGCCTTTAAAAACACACCGGCCTTTGGAGGACCCTTCTCCAAATCATACCAAGTGTATACACACGTAGGATTCTTATGTCTTCCTGGGGGACGAAACCTCTTACTATTATAAAACATTTTCTTTGTCTCTACTATTTTTAAAATTTAACTACAAAGACTACTTTATCTGATATTTCAGCTTCAGGTATACCTGTAAAGTGTTTTGACTGTATCCATCCTAGAAATTTACTTTATAATATGCACACTCTCTGCCAAAATATGCACTTCACCATGTGGTAAGATCCAGAAGTTCAATTTTTATCTACAAAAAGATAGCACCAATTCTGTCTCCCAGGGGTATATTCACTAAGGGCATTTTATTTTTGTCACATTCAACTGAAACAATGTACCAGTAGTGGTAATAACAGTGGTTTTTCTGGAGATAGGGTTTAACACAATTGTACTTTCAGAAACCAGCTTCCTTTTGACCTCTAAATTGAACGTTCTCTAGGTTTGTATTTTATATATATTATACATTAATTATTCATTGTTGTCTCAGGACACGCTTATGAGTAACAGTTCATTGACCTGCAGTAAAAAAAAAAAGTCCTGTTATTCACAACCTTTGGAATTTCCCTGTGTAGGGAAGGCACTGGAAGTTAAATTAAATGTGGGTAGAACATTTGATCTATACATTCCACTTGCTCAGACTAAAAATGTGGATGTGGTCATGTACAGTTAAGTAGAACAAATAAAAATAAATAAATTCTAAAAATGTGGATGTGGCCTGGAGCACTCTTTCTCTCAAACTCTATCTCCAACTGATTAGGAAATTCTCTTAGTTCTACCTTCAGAATATACCCAGAGTCTAGCCACTTCTCACCTCCTCCATTGCTACCACCACCAACATCTATCTCCTAGATTAGACAGCTTTCTAAATGGTACTCTTAATTTAACACCTGCTCTCTTACCATCTATATTCCACAAATCAGGCAGAATGATTTTTTTAAAAGCACAAGGCAAATTTTATCATTCTTAGGCTCAGAATCCTGTTACAGGGGTTAAAAACCCATCAATACATTGCAAAGCTAGGAATATATAAGGATATCCCAAAACAATAACAAAAAAAGAACCTTAGTGGAGACATCTGTAGAATACAAAAAAACAACTTATTCTTTTGAAAACAGAGGAGAAGAATCAAATATTTATTCTCTTTCCTATAAAAGTTAATATAAAGATACACAAAATGTTGATGAGGGTTTCTCTTTATAAGAACATTTCAGCTAATACATAAAAAAACAAGGTAGAATTTTACTATGATCATTTAAAAACTGCTAATTAATTAAAAGATCTATATAATAGATAACAATAGCAGGTAAACCACATCAGAAAATAGGAAATAACCAAACATCATGTGCTTTGTAATATAGGGCACAATCTATCAAGTATTCTTTCCCAAAACATTAAATCTTCATGATACTAAGCTTCAGCAGCAATTTAGGTATCATCATCATGGTGATACACAGAATCAAAAGCATGAAAATGACTCCATTTTAACAAATAAATTGAGACAGAGGATGATACATGAACATATTTAGTGTTGTATTCTTGCATGCTATTGGATACATTATGCATATATACATTTTCAAAATGAAATCATATGGTAAAATATCTATAACTTGTTTCATTTCATATTTTTATATATTGCATGTTGAGAAAAAATATTTAATTGAGTTTTATCATTTACTAAATTAATATGCTTTTCCTTTAAAGATACTGTGGAAATTAAAGCTAAGATCACTTGTTTATCAGAGCAAGAACTGAGGGTTGACTATCACTAACTGGGAATCTCAGAAAAGGATAAATATTAATCCAAAATATATTTTTTCATATTTTTTAAAATGTCTAATTAACAATTTCTGATATTAACATATGTTAGATTATTTTTTAAATATTTTTAGTTGTAGATGGACACAATAACTTTATTTTGTTTATTTAGTTTTATTATTTTTTATGTAGTGCTGGGGATCAAACCCAGTGCTTCACACGTGCTAGGTAAGTGCTCTACCATTGAGCCACAAACTCAGCCCCTAGATTATTATTTTAGTTAAAATTTTAGGCAGGTGCAGTGGTACATGCCTGTAATCCCAGCAGCTTGGGAGGCTGAGTCAGGAGGATCACAAGTTCAAAGCCAGTCTCGGCAATTTAGGGAGTCCCTAAGCAACTTAGCAATACCCTGTTTCAACAACAAAAAAAAAGGGCTGGGGATATGACTAAGTGGTTAAGCACCCCGGGGGTCACTTTTCTAGTACCTAATAATAATAATAATAATAATAATAATAATAATATCAAGTTATTATCAAATTAACTAATAAAATTTCAAAGTTTAACAAATCTTTCCAAGTTTTTATTATTATAAGCAATGCTACTAAGCACAGGATTATATACACATTCTCTGCACATGTTCACAGTTTTTCATGCAATACTTCTGTAACTGTATTACTTAAACCAAAACATGCCTTACATTGAGACTATTTTATGACATTTAAAACTATATATCATATTTCTTTATGTGATAATCAACAGTGAGTGAATGAGCCTATATCTTCATCTGTGTGCTAACATTTTAAAAGTTCATATAACTTGAAACAATCATCATTTTTCAAATTTATCTTTTTGAAAAACTTTCTCTCTACTGAATACACATACATATGTGTGTGTGCGTGCGAGAGTGTGTGTATATATATATATATATATATATATATATATATATGGGCAATGTTTTTATATTTTGGTAAGTCTGGAGGACAGTAGTGTGAAAAGGATTCATTATCTATTGTTAGCTGGGTAACTAGGATCAATTGTTAACCAGGTGGCTGAAATCTCAGAGAATGGTTGAAGACTGGAAGAGATGAGTGTCTCATAAACAACAGGCAAAGAGTCAAGGACAGGGGCATAAATGAGAATGAGCAATGGCAATATAATAAAATGAGAAAGAAATATCTGTGGTACTAAATCTATGCTAGACAATATGTCCATCTGGAAAATTCCATAGAAGGTTTATTACACCTGTTCTCCGGCTCCTAAACATTAGAAGACACAATGAAGAATGTAAAAACTAAGATAATAAAGGACTATACCAAACTAAGCATTTGAAAAAAATAAATGTAGTTTTGCTTCCAGCAACAAAAGACTAGCTAAGTTGGAACAAGTGTCCAAGGAAAAACATCTAGAAAAGTGTGGAAAATCACTTAAAATAAAAATTTATTTACAAGGGGAGGGAATGGCGGAGGTAAAGGAGAGGTTCTGGGGAACAAAACTGACCAAATTATACTGTTGTATTGTGTGCATGTACAAATATACAACAATGAATCCCACTATAATGCATAATTATAATGCATCAATAAAAAAATAGAAAAAAATAGGGCAAAGATACCTCAAAGTTAATCTCAACAATTGAATTGAGGCTGTTTTTTGCTAGCAGCAGTTAATGACTCCTAAGGAGGCATGTAGGGTGCTGAAATGTTATGAATTCATGCCAGATTTCCACAGAGTCATGGGACT